CAACCTTCCTGTAAGGTTCGGTCATCCATATGATGGATCTCCCATCCCTTCAACCACTTGATTAAATAGTTCCAAAAAATGGGTTTAAACTTCAATTAAAGGTAAACCATATAAATCAATTGTAGTCTAAACGTGTGGTTGTGTTTGATTGATCCCATCCCACACTTGTGAACAAAACATAATCTTGTAAAAGAGGGTGCTTTTCAAATAGAAGGATAAAACCCAAAAAGAGAATAGCCATGTAACAACTGGAACCTACTTATCCATAAATTAACTGTATAGTAAGAGTATTTAAAAAAAAGGTAAAAGAGAGGGTAAAGAAGTCTTATACTTTCTTTAGTTCAATGTAAGGAAAAGGGATCTTCTAAAAGTAGCTACTTCAAATTATAGCATTTCACTATATGAACAGATAACACAACTTTTTTTTCTTAAAAAGTTCATAGAAATAACAAAAATTCTGGAAACACAAATAAAATTTACTATCTTTTCATGGACCCTCAACAGAAATCAAGTGATTTGGAACAACAGATTATTCAAGTTGAACAATCAACTCCTTGGGATCAATCAAAACTCTTGTCTCTTTATAAACTGTATAATGATACTCAATCTCAAGTTGAGAATTTTTGGAGACAAAGATCTAGACAACTCTGGCTTACGTTTGGAGACAAAAATACAAGCTTTTTTCATGAAAGTACTTTATACCGCCAGAGAAAGAATGAAATTCAAGGAATTAAAGATAACCATAACTCCTGGGTGACTAACCATAAAGATATATCGGAAGTCTTTATCTCTTATTTTTCAGACTTATTCACACATCAACCCCAGCATGAGTTGTCATTTGTTTCAAATATTTTTACCCCTACCATCACTGAGGAAGAGAATTCTTTTTTAACTGCAATTCCTTCTGAAGAAGAAGTTAAAGCAACCTTATTCAGTATAAGTAGTCTCAAATCTCTAAGACTAGATGGAATGCCAACTTTAGTTTATAAAGAATATTGGGATTTGATGAGCTCTAACATTGTAGCTTTTGCTAAAGAATTTTTCTAGAACAATAAATTACTTAAACGCTTAAATCATACTTTCATTTGTCTTGTTCCAAAAAAGGTTAATTGTACTAAAGTCCAAGACTATCGCCCCATCAGTCTTTGTAATGTTCTCTATAAAATCATTTCAAAAATCTTAGCTACCAGGCTTCATATCGTCTTGGACAAATATATCCCCCCGAACCAATCTATCTTTATCCCAGGACGTCAAATGACTGATAACACCATTATTGCACATGAAATGTTCCATTTTTTAAAACATCACAAGTGAGGTACAACCTATGTGGCCATTAAGTTAGATATGGCGAAAGCCTACGATAGACTGAAATGGTCTTTTCTTCTGTCAGTCTTAAAAGTTTTAGGTTTTTCTGAAGACTTTTGTCACATCATTCTTGAGTGTATTTCCTCTGTATCCTTACTCTATTCTAATTAATGGTACCTCTGAAGGGAAAATTTTACCCACTAGAGGATTGAGACAGGGTGATCCATTATCTCCCTATTTGTTTATTATAGTCATGGAATGTCTCACTAGAATGATTATGAAAGCTGAACATAGCAATCATCTCAAAGGCATACAAATATATGCTAGAGCCTCTCAAATCTCCCATTTATTCTTTGCAGATGACATCCTTTTATTCCTTCATGATCATCGGGATGAATTAGACAACCTTAAAAATATCCTCCATCAATTCCAGGATCCTCAGGACAACTAATTAATTTAGAAAAATCAGGAGTTTACTTTAGCAAAAGCATCCATCCTAGGCACCAAAGAATGGTTTGCAAACAATTTCAAGTACAAATACTCCCTGTGAATACTAGATATCTAGGTCTCCCTCTAATTTGGGGTTGAAATAGACACTCCTAGTTATCCTATATCCTGGATAATCTTAAAGCTAAGCTTAATAAATGGAAAGCTACAACTCTCAGCCAAGCAGGTAAAAAAGTGCTCATTCAATCTGTCTTTCAAGCTATTCCAACTCATACTATGTCTGTTATACAATTACCCCAAAAGACTATGGCTATAATTGAAAATATTAAAGATTTTTAGTGGGCCATATCTGAATCCAATTCTCATCCTTATCGGTGGTGTGCTTGGAATTCTTTAACTATTCCTAAGTTATCAGGAGGCCTAGGTTTTAGAAATATCAAATTGGTCAATCTAGTATTGCTTAAAAAAATGTCCTGGAGGTATCTAAATGAACAGAATAAATTGTGGGCCCAACTCTGGAAATCGAAATATCTCCTTATTCATCTGTTCTTCCCGTATACCATCCAATCCAATAGCTCTGTATTTTAGAAATCAATAGCACCTAAACTTTAAAGTCTAAGTTTGGAAGTAAGATTCTTAGTTTGAGAATCCTCTTCAGAACAACTTGCCCATCTACCTTGGATCTAGAATAATGGAAATTTTCGAATGATCACTCACCCTATTTCCTTTCCTATATCTCAACTTACTTTCAATGATATTATTATTAATGGTAATTAGAATGCTCCTCTTTTTCATCAACATTTTAACACTGACCAAGTTGAGAGCATCTTACGAACACCTATTTTTCCAACTAATATCTCTATTTCCTAGGTTTGGACTAAACATTCAACTGGTAAATTTCAAATTGTTGTTGCCTATAATAATATAGCACATGATTCTCTTCCCAGACTTTCTGATCAACAAAAGTCTTGTATTAAATGGATTTGGAAACTCCCTTGTCCCCCTCGTTATCAATTACTTTTTTGGAGGATTACCCAAGATTTTATTCATGTTAAAGTAAATTTTTTTCTACAAATCAGGACCAAAATTGTGTTTTTTGTCGAAATCATCTAGAAACTTTAAATCATCTTTTTCTTGAATGTTCTTTTACTCAATCTATTCTCTTTGCTTCACCTTGGAACATTAACTTTGATGCCATTTATAATACCAACTGGATTAACTGTATTCTCCATATACATACTCTTTTTTTCTGAAAAAATACTTTTCTAAGAGTTCCTAATTGGTATGTGATTGCTTTATACTATATCTGGTTTGCTTGTAATGAAAAATCTTTTAAAGATGTTTCCATTTCCAACCTCTGAAATATAAACAAAAGTAATACTATTTTCAATAGTATTCCAATTTCAAGTATTGCACAAGAATCACCTTCGGAACTTCCTTCAATCTTAAATCTCTTTGTGCGATCACACCTGAATGGTATTCTATTTACATATGCAGGGAAATTATCTTCTACTGTCTTTTGCTTTGGTACTATCCTCTTCAACAATCATCTGGACTGTATTCAAATACCAGGGGGTTGAAAGAATTTAAGTTCAGTTGAAGCAGCAAAACCTTTTGCTATACATCAAAGCATCCTCCAAGCTCTCCAACAAAGAAGAAGAAACATTTTGGTCTGCTCGGATTCTCAGTTGGCTATTCAAGCATTACAGGGAACATCTTCTCTTCATTGGTCTTTGTTGGATCTTCTTCAAAGAATTCAGAACTTATTTCAAGCTTTTTAATCAGTTTCTTGTATTTATATTAATAGAAAATGTAACATCATGGCTCATCAGATAGCATGCAGGAGTAAAACTGATTTATAGGATTATTTTTTGTTAGATGCTTATCCTCGTGATGTATCTGATGTTTCAAACTATGTATCTTGTTCCTTTTGTTAATATAATAGTTTTGACCTTTCAAAAAGAAAAAAATACATGTGAAGGAAAGAACTTAAATTAGAAATTGTTTGAATGCATTAAATTTCAATTTTAGTAATTCAATAATAGAATTTTGCTTCCACACATTGATTTCTTCTAAATTTTGGTCACATGGTAGGTCCTGGCGTAAAACCAACCATCTCAATGGTTGGTTGGCAGGTTAACTGTCCGGGTCAAATGAGTCAACCTGTAATGTTAATAATCAAATAATAAAAGTAATAGAAAATAATGAAAAATTGGACATATATATGCTAATTGTATTAAAGAAATAAATATAATAATATGTATAGGAAAACAAAAAAGAAGAGTTAATGTCTGACAGGCTCAGTTTGAAAAGAGTACAAATACAAATATGTATAGTGCAAATACATATAAAATAATACAAAATATAAGATTTTGCACTCTATATATTTGCATTTGTACTCTAAGGCTCAGTTTGAAAGGAGTACAAATGTAATTTATAGAGTGCAAAACCTTGTATTGTATATGTATTTATATTGTACATATATTTGTATTTGTACTCCTTCCAAACTGAGCCTAATGGACCAAATGGTTTAACAGTTCAATTGGTTGGCCTGTTGATTGGATCAATATTTTATGCAAGTAAAGGTTCGGGGTTTAATGAACCAGAAACTTGGTCAAGAAGATAGATGAATCGGTTCAACCGGCTGTTCAACTCCTGGTGGAAACTGCAAAAACATTAGTATTAAACCGTTGACTCCCCTACAATAAATTAATATTTAATACATCACGCTAAGCATGCCGATTGAGACGTGAGGGAGGAGGAATTGGAATCCAGTGGGCTGTAGGCCCCTTTTTTTGTATAAGGCTGTAAATGACCCTGTATCCAATTATGTACTCCATCATCTCTCTCCCTTTTTCTTCATTTATTAATTAATTTCGTATCCAAATTTATAAAAAGAAAAAAATCCAACTTTGATTTAATGATGGGTCCCCACTCGCACGATGGAACATTCCTATGATGTCAGATTGGAATCTACTTCACTCCATGCCCCACCTTGGATGGGCATTAGATTCATCCAATACCAATCCAACAGTCAAAAGATCCCTCAAATCTGAGGGCCCCATTTTTGAAACCACGATTGTTACAAAGCATCAGAATACATGTTGCGTTTACGCTGAGCAGTGAGAACTGAGAAGTCAAACGTGGTTGGCATTTTTGTAATTTAACTGAAGGAAAGTGTCATTTCAGTAGCTATAAGCCTATAACTCATTCAAGAAGCAAGCATAATTTGAAATGTCTTCTGACAAACTGGTGGGAAAGAAATTATTCGATATAGAGAGAAAGAGAGATAGAGAGAAGGCGAAGGGAATTTAAATCCCACAACCCTTCGATTCCCTCTTTCTCTTTTTAGCTCTATTCTCGATTGCTTTCCTCTGCAAAGCCTAGGGTTTTAATCGAATTCAGAGCTTCTTTAGGGTTTTCAGAGTGAACGCCTATCTGTTGCTTTTCCCCCGTCAATACCTATTTTCGGAGGTAACGCCTATCTGCAAGTCGAAGATGAGCAGTCAAGTAGCTCCTCCTCCTAAGAGAACCAATCTGAACTCCAGACGGGTTCCTTCATCCTTGAAGAAATCAGCCCCTGTTGAGAACGGTACCAGTAATGGAAGCCACACGAAGCCCACCTCCCCTAGCCAATCGTAAATTCGACTTCTCTGTTGAGTTCTTCAGTTGTTGTTATTTCCTGTTTGATTGCTGTAATTTGACTTGGTTCACTATTGGGTATGGGGAAACAGGTCTGTTGGTGGGGAGAGGACGGTGAAGAAGCTGAGATTGTCGAAGGCGCTTACGATTCCCGAAGGAACGACCGTTTCGGATGCTTGTAGAAGGATGGCGTCCCGCCGTGTCAATGCTGCGTTGATTACTGATTCGAATGCCTTGCTCTCCGGAATTATTACGGATAAGGTTTAGTGGACTTCTGGTGCGTACTGTTCGGATTTGATGTTTCCTCTCTTGTTTGATCGAATATGTTTGTTTGGGTTCAGGATATTGCGACTCGAGTTATAGCAGAAGGATTGAGGCCAGAACAAACATTAGTTTCGAAAGTCATGACAAGAAACCCGGTATTTGTAACTTCGGATACAATAGCAATTGAGGCTCTGCAGAAGATGGTCCAAGGTTACTTACATGTACTTCTCATTTGGTTGGGTTCTTGTATGCACTGAAATAAGGTTACAGATTCATAATTTTGAAAATATAGAGAGGAAACAGGTTACACTACAAACAAAGAAAGTGGTTTTCTTTATACCCCTCTCCCTAGCTCTTTCTCTATATTTGTGAAAGGGCAACAAATCTTCCATAAGACCATAACATGCGGTGGGCTCAAGTGCAGAGCTAACGGTGGAAATTTTGGTATTTGCTAAAATGTGCCCCAGATGTTATTCTTTAGTTGCGGTAAAGCTTTGGCTTTGTTAATTACTCGAGTTACAATAAACAATGATAGTTTTTCTATGATAACGAATCCATGTATAAGGTAATGTGCCCCAGATGTTATTCTTTAGTTGCGGTAAAGCTTTGGCTTTGTTAATTACTCGAGTTACAATAAACAATGATAGTTTTTCTATGATAACGAATCCATGTATAAGGTAATGTGATGAATTATTTCATAAGAGAAAAGAAAAAAAAAATATAATTCGCGTACTTACTTAAAATGAAAGGCAGAAATATGTTGGGCAGAAAAAATATATCAATAGTTCAATACATTACCTTTTTCAAAAAAAAAAGGTAGTAACATGTATTTATCATTTAAATTCATCACCAGAACTGAATACTTTACCAGATTTCCTAAATCAATCAATATATGTTCTGTACTTGATTTAGGTGTATTTTGATGTGGAAAACATTATGAAGAGGGGAGGGTGGAAGATGAGAACATGAACCCCAACCTGATCTGAACAGTAAACCATAGATCCTATGAGGAAAACATAAAACCCTTCAATTATCTTTATTTATGGAAAAAAGAGAAGAGGACTTATCTTTAAGAAGAGCAGGAACGAATTTGTTCTTAGAGTAGGTATTCTCCTTCTTCCCAAAATAATGCAATCTGAGATTACTAAGAAGTGAAAACTCCAAATCTAAAATTCAAAAGGTAAAGCAGATCCAAATTTCTAAACCATAATCCTAAGAGGAAAACATATAAACCTTAAGGCGATAGCACAGAAACCTTTTTTTATCTTGTTTTACAAAGGGAAAAATGAAAAAAAAACCGTGTTTTACTTGTAAAAAAAGAGAAATGTAATAGAGATCCTGTGACAAGATAAGGATGTTGAGATGGAGGATAGGCAAGAGTAGAAAGGATAGAATCAGAAAAGAGTGGATTAGAGAGGATTTTGGAGTAGCTCCAAGTAGTGACAGGATGAGGGAGAGTCAACTGATTGAATTTCTGTTGCTATTGGCTAATGCTAGCCCTAACTCTAGTGATTGGCCATAATCTTCTGCTTTTAACATTGAATTTCTTCTTAAGTAACTTTGTCCCATCATATGCCTTTTTTTCATTTGGTAGAAATTGATATAAAGTTGTTATGTTATGTGTGTGGTCCCCAATCATTGGTTCTTGTTATGCTGTAGTTTCCCCCTTTAATGGGCATATATGTCTCCAGAAAAATGATCATATACGTTAACTGGTACTTATAAATAGGCAATTGAACTTTCTCTTCATTCTCTTTTTGATCCTTTTTTCCTTTTCCAGGAAAATTCAGGCATCTCCCTGTTGTAGAAAATGGTGAAGTTATTGCCTTGTTGGATATTACGAAGTGTCTTTATGATGCTATATCTAGAATGGAAAAGGCTGCAGAACAAGGTAGTGCAATTGCAGCTGCCGTGGAAGGAGTTGAACGCCAGTGGGGAAGTGCTTTTTCTGGTTAGTTATCCAATCTTTTATGGACTTGTTTCATAAAAATTGTCTGTGCCTATTTTTGCATATATGTGGGCAAGGTTCAAAGTATCGGTACACCCTGATATGCTGGAAGAGGTGTATCGGTACTTTGTACCTAACTCGAAGCTTTTGTGTTAGTCTTATTTTTCAAAAATTGGTTATGGGGGTGGGTCTTAGGCCTGTCTACCCCCTGAAATGGGTGAAAAGGCCATTTACCCTGTGTTTCGAGTATTGGACAGCCACCGACATGATACACCCAATACAGGGTGTATCGTGTTGAAATTTTGGACCTTGTATTGGGCACTTGTGATATTTAATACTTGCTTCCAATTACCCAAATTGATGGTACCAATATGTTATCTGATAGCCATCTTGAATAGGATTTTCTTAGCTCTTGTTTTTGTTATTTTTCATTGTGGTCATTTTAGTTTGTCAATAATGATTTAGTGTAAAGGGAACTCCGTGATTGTCTTTCCCATTTTTAAGATTTTGCCTATAGTTTCTATAAAATCTAATGTAGCCATATTTTCCTGACAAAACTAACTTAAAAGTATGATGTCATCTTGTTGTTTTGATACCTAAGATCCAATTCCATGTCTTCACTTCTTAAAACAATCATACTAATATTTGCATATGGTCATTGGTTTTAGTTATCAATGCTTGAAAGTGGTATGCTCCAAATTTTCTGAAACAGTATAGACTGAAGGTCTGAAATTATGAGCCAAATGCTACAGTTTATGCATTTGGTGAATTTAATATTTTGCCATGCTGAAGTTATGGATAGAAAAAAGGATAAATTTCAATCCTGTGCCCTGTTTCTCTTATTTTGCAGCTCCATATGCTTTCTTAGAAACTCTTAGGGAGCGGATGTTCAAGCCTTCATTGTCAACCATCGTCAATGAAAATACCAAGTACTGTTATCCCTTTTCTTTTGCTAGTTATCAGCTTCTGTTATGATCTCCTAGTATCATATTTTACTTATGGAATAGTTTATATTACCAAAATCTGTAATTGATTTTATTTGCAGGGTTGCAATAGTGTCTCCATCTGATCCTGTTTGTGTTGCTGCAAAAAAGATGCGAGAGTTGCAAGTTAATTCTGTGATTATTACAACAGGGAGCAAACCTAATGGGATACTAACGTATTAGCCCTTTTACTGTTTTCTATTTTTGATATTGCTTGTAGTTCTTGATACATGCAAAGTTATTGTATTTATATGTTACTTCCCTGCATTTTGGTGGTTACTTATATGGTTGCTGGTTGAACCTTACTGCAGTTCAAAAGATATCCTCATGCGAGTTGTAGCACAAAATCTGTCCCCTGAGTTGACATTAGTGGAAAAGGTTTCTACTTGATTCCTACATGATTCTTATTTATCTAGAATGTGTTATATTCTGTTCAAGAATCAATCAGTGTTATCAATGTGTCAACTAGTCAACTGACTAGTCAGTTGAGGGCCAGATTGACTAAGCAACCAACTAGTCAGTTTCTTCGAATCCTAGGCAACGGTCAACCACAAAATCATTTTAAAGTTTTACTTGTTTGCTTATATTCTCTAATTTGAAGTAATACGAATACATCTAAATTCTTATCCATGTTTTCTTTTTTTTAATATTGTGATGGAGAATGATTGGATGATGGTATATAAAATGAAAAAGGGCATAAGATGAAGTAAAGTAGTGGAGTTCTTTTAAGTTTTCTTCCAATCAATGGGGTGTTGGTAGAGTTGTCATATACAAAAGTACATCAAACAATCAAAGTTGATTTCATTCTTTGCAAACTTTTTTAAAGACTAAACTAAATGTTCAATATCATTTCTTTTTCTTTCATGATTGTAGGTTTAGCTTATTTATGAGATTACATCAATACCTTAAATTTTAGAACATGTCTAGTGTAGGATTGAAGTGATCCAAAGCTGGACTGATGACAAATTTGTGGGAAATTGATAGTGAGGGGTTAGGTCCAAGGTTTGAGGGGCCGGAGGTAGGTCTAGAGAAGGGGGGATGAGGTTTTGTCTAGGGAAAACGACTGTATGAAGTAATTAGGAAGCAAGTTTAATGCTGAAATTCCTGGAAGCTGCAACATGCAGAAATTTCTTAAGAGAGAAACAATGAAATTTCTATATCTCAAGCATAGTTGTCAAGGCATCGCCTAGGCGACAAGGCACCCTTTGAGGCTCGCCTCACCTCTCATTGATCTCATAAGTATCATACCAAATCCCATCAATCGAATCACTTTTTTGAGAAATACAAGACATCTAAGTCGTACAAGTAAAGAAATCTATTCATTGATAAGAAAAAGAAAAAACGTGAATGGTGATTGGATTGATGATAAAATAGAATCCTGGGTCGCGAACAGTGATTCGATTGATGATGAAGAAAGAGAATTCTTGTTTCAGTTCTCCACCTTAAYGACAGAAAAAAGGATTGATCAAATTCTATTGAGTCTGACTCATRGTGATCATTTATCAAAGAATAACTCTGGTTATCAAATGATTGAACAACCGGGTTCAGTTTACTTATGATACTTAGTTGACATTCATAAAAAGTATCTAATGAAAGACGGATATTCCTTGCTCATTATCATACAATCACTTGTTCACAAAACTCGTGTGGGGCTAATAGTTTTCATTTCCCATCTCATGGAAAACCCTTTTHGCTCCGCTTAGCCCTATCCCCCTCTAGGGGTATTTTAGTGATAGGTTCTATAGGAACTGGACGATCATATTTGGTCAAATACCTAGCGACAAACTCCTATGTTCCTTTCATTATGGTATTTCCGAACAAGTTCCTGGATCCTCCAAGCATTTTTGTACTATGTATTATAAACACTTTTTTTTTTCTTTATTTTTTGACATTATAATTATAAAATAGGCGCTATTAACAAAAATAAGGGTTCAGCCCCTTTATTTTTTGAATTTTCTTTTCCTTCTTCTTTTTCTTCTCATGAATATGTTGATTTTCTATTCTTTAACATGAACTCTATACTTTTCTTATGAAGATTATGAATAATTATTAAGGAAATATGGTTATGGTACCTAGGGAACTACCCTAGGATCTATGTTTTATACATAAAAGAAACCCATCACCTAGGCAACGCCTAGGTGCCTGCCTAGGCGACTAGGTGCCCCTCTGTCGCCTAGCCTCACCTTGGTGCCTTGAAAACTATGATCTCAAGATTGGTACGGAATTTCTTTAAACTGTTTTAGAGGAAGTGTTAGTTGAGTGAACCAAAGCAGGGGGTTAAATTTAGAGAGGTCTTAACAAGGTTGGACACAAAAAGACGAGAGGTGGAAGTTCTCAAAATTAGAAACTTTTGTTAACTGGGGTTTTAGGTAGGTTTTTTTCAAACCGTTTTGGTGGGATGAAAAAGAACCTTAGGTATGTGGAATGGCTAAATCAGATATGATTTTCATGAAGGTTTGTTATGGAAATTTTAGAAACAAGTTTCTCACTGTGGGAAGGTATGCAGATGTTGGGATCAAACTGATTCTTTTAATCGATGTTGAATGATGAGTTTGATTGCATTTTCCTTGGTATTTGATTATTGTGAGAAACTTCAATATTCATTGCTTACGTTTTGAAACTTTATACATATAGACTGTTTAAGGTAGGCCAAACTGCTTTCTTAATTAGAAAAACTCAAAAGAACAATTATGCTACTCATAAACCAGCTTAAGAAAACTAAATATTAGTAAATTACTCTTAAGCTACTTAACCAGTGAGTCTAACATTTAAACATGACTAAATTATCACTAGACAAATCAAGCCAATAGGTTGGACCCATGCCACATGTTAAATGACCAAAATAACACTAATCTCCAAAAATACAATAATCCATAAAAGTTACTAAAATTCCAGTTTTGACACTTCAGCTCCTGCATCAATATCCTTTTATATCTACTAGTTATTGCATTGATAGGCCTAAATGACTAGTCACCACTTCTCGCATTGATAACACTGGAGTCAAGTTTTGTTGAGAACTTGAGATATGTTTGGTCAAAATTTGACACCATCCCCACCCACACATGCTGTTATTATTGCTGATTTACATCTCAGAATCATGACTGAAGAAAAAAAATGTTTCTGCTGATAAAGACGCCTTGGCATGACCTTATCTACTCTTTCTTTTGAAGGTTATGACAGTGGCTCCTGAATGTGCAACACTGGAGACAACAATCCTTGATGCATTGCATATGATGCATGATGGGAAGTTCTTAAATCTTCCTGTTCTGGATAAAGGTATGAAATGATTCCTTCAACTGGCAAGGGGTGTGTTGTAATCAGAGTTTGATGATGGTTTTTATGCAGAAGGATGTATTGCTGCTTGTGTGGATGTCCTACAGATCACTCATGCAGCAATTTCAATGGTAAAGAATTATTTCTTCCATGGAAGATTTGCTAATTTTAATTTTTTCTATACTTTATGTTCATTGCAACATTTGTTTGTTATTGGTGTTTAATTACTACAAAGATACATGTAAAGGTTGCAGAATTAATTGATATTATTGCTACCCAGCCCAAGTTCACCCCTTCTCTTAGTAATCACATTGAGGCACATTCATAATTCTCATTTCTACTGTTATACTTAAAATGTCCTAGTCTGTCATTCATCTTGGTGATATTAAGCTACAGATTTCTTTTGTGTTTCATGAAATTTGAATTTTTGAATTTAAAGTTTAAACAAGTCCATGCATGGAATGTTGGAGCCTTGGAAGTTTAAATTTATTTTCATGGAATTTAAAACAAGTTCATGTTTTATTGTTTAATATTTCTTTTCTTCTTTTTTTCTTTTTTTTTTTTTTTTCGGGTGTCAGTTGTTTTTGTGAATTAAGAAGTTTGTTTAAGTATTTTGAACATGATTATTAAAAAATGCAAGGGTTATTGCTAATTCTAGTTTACACCGAGGAACAATATACATTTAATACTTTGATAGATTAGTTACTCACCCATTGATTTCTTTGAAGGTTGATGGGGGCTCTGGAGCTGTCAATGACATGGCTAGCACAATGATGCAGAAGTTCTGGGATTCTGCACTTGCCCTTGAGCCACCCGATGATGAATATGATACTCACAGGTATCATTTTCCCATCTTATTATATTATATTATGGTATCCTTGTGATAAAGTTGAACTAATGCTGCTGCTTGTTTTGTTGTTTGAAGTGAACTTTCTGCACTAATGACAACAGAAGCCACAGAAAAGTATCATCCATTAATTGGTCTTGGAAATAGTTTTTCCTTCAAATTGGAAGATATTAAGGGTCGTATCCATAGATTTACTTGTGGTAAGTATGTGCTCCAATTCATCATAACAAATATGAAAACAACAAAAAAAGCATTATACATGTGAGAACCTGGCCTTGAGGATTACTGTACTTTGATTTGTGGTTACTGAAACAATGAGATGTACACTATTTCTTCAGGTACAGAGAAATTGGATGAGCTTTTTACTGCTGTAATGCAAAGGATAGGGACTACGAGTGACCAAGAACGTCCAGAATTGTTGGTGAGTTTTCAATACTCCCACACAGGCCTATGCATTGATGGACTCTTTATTCTCTGACTTTTTTTCTTGTGGTTTGGTTTCTCGTAGTATGAAGATGATGAAGGTGATAAGGTTCTCCTTACAACTGACAATGATCTCATTGGAGCTGTGAACCATGCCAGATCAGCAGGATTGAAGGTAAACTGTTCTTTCTTGTGTAGGAAGTAGGAACTCTTATATAAGGATTGAACTTATTCTTTCCATTTTTAGTATCTTTCAATCAATTGGTGTTTGAAGATATCTTATGAAGCTTGTGCCTCTGAGGCTTGTCTCAGATCAAGGCTGAGAGCCTAAGAAATTGTCCGAGTTGGCACCTCAAAATCGCTGGTCACATACCTCACAGTTTGAGGTGTCTTCTGTTAAGGATGTGTTTCAGAAGGTTTCTAGGTTTTTATGTATGTAATTCAGCTTTTCATATATAAATATATATTATGACCTTACATATGAAATTATTGTTGCCCACACATGATTACATTTTTAAATACATAATAAATGAGAAAGTTAATCCTAACTTTTCTGAGTTTTAATTTTGTTCATTCATGCGATGGTTAATTATAACTTGGTATTTTTCTTGGTATTGTATACAGTACTTGCTATTATGAATATTTTGATACTTTGATTCAGTTGAGTTCTTTTTTCTCCAAGAGGTGTCCATGAGAAATTGGAGGCTTGGGCCTCCAGCTTCTGAAGGTCCTAATGCCTCCACAGATTATTTTGTTTTTGTACCATGGATGCTTGGGTTTGGATATTCATTGTGGTATTGGTATTTCACTTATTACCTAGGATTTTGATTTGTTAAACTCTTCTAGGTGTGAGTTAGCAAATACATGCGGTACGTTCGGGTGCCATAAAAATTGTCTTCATTCCTTGTTTCCCTATTATGGATTTTTTACTTGTATTCCTTTTCAGATCCTAAGGTTGCACATCAATTACGATTCAAGCAAGAAACTAGTGGGGGCGTCATTTGATACCACTACCATCCAAAAGCCTGGATTGTTATCTCTGCAGTCGGGGCTTTTAGCAGGTGCAGCTGTACTGGCGGGCATTGGTGTGTTAGCTTACCTGAAGCGCTCCAATTTGTGATGCTCATGCTCTGTGAACAACTTTCTTCCCCTAAACATTGAAAGAAAGAGATCTCTGCAATCTTAACAAATACATGGTTTCTCGGGGTTGAAGATCTTAAACAAAAGGCCTTCCTGAAGACGATCCTCTAAACTCTGATAGACTAGAAAATCTATAAAAAGTATACTGTCCTTTGGTGGTGGCGGCCAGGAGTGGTGGAAGTGGAACCACTCGTGCTCGATAAAAACATATACATGGAAAGATGACACAAAAGGCAGCTGGGTGAGGGCTACAGTCTACAGGGGATTCTTTTTGTCATTGTTCATAATGTAATCTGATTGTGCATACTATACATGCAACAAAGAATCATTGTGGACTATTTAACTGTGGATACATTCTTTCATTGACTAAACTGTTCACAGAAAATGGTGAATGAGCATGTGAATCAAAAAATGTCCTCAAGTCTCAGGCCCATTTTCTGCTGGTTCTGTTTGGTCAAAGAATAGCTATTTTTTACTTGCCCAACAGACTGGCTTGAGGCCTTTTTGGATTTTAGGGCCTGTTTAGACTCCGCCCTTGGTGGGTTATCACCGAGCATTTGAGGTTAACCCACATCATTGGGAACATCTTCCCATCAAAGAATAGCTATTTTTTACTTGCCCAACAGACTTGGTGGTACCGTTCCTTGAGGCCTTTTTGGATTTTAGGGCTTGTTTAGACTCCGCCCTTGGTGGGTTATCACCGAGCATTTGAGGTTAACCCACATCATTGGGAACATCTTCCCATCAAAGTTGGAGTATCTCTATCTCTATCCAGGTTTCTGAGCCATAATGGATTTTTAGTAATTTGTCCATCCTTAAACTTGTCTTAATTTGTCAGTGGTAATGGGTCATTCTGTGATTGGGGTCATTTCTTTATTTTTTTGGTAAATTAGGATCATTTGGTGAGATGGAATCTTCTGAAAGCAAAATCTCAAAAGTTCTGTAGCACATTGGGAATATCTCCCCATGGATTTAATATATGTACAAGAGATATTCTTGATGTGTTTAGAATTTTTGCTTTCAGGAAATCCAGGCTCACTTGAAAGTAATGGGAAAATCGAGGCTCCCCATGAGTTTTTGTTTTCAGGATGTCCAGGCTCTCAATTTGTTGTTGCTCTCTACGAGACAAATTGAATGCCAAAACCGGTTATGTTATAGAAGATGAAAGTTTAAATCAGTGAAAGATAGGTAAGATTTTACAGAGGAAAGGACCTCTCTCCATAAAGCTAACGACTTTATTACCAAAAAAAAAAAGCTAATGACGAATAAATAATTCTGGTCCATCAAAAATTGTAGAATTTGTGAGTTCCCTGCCTTAGCATTTCCATGCCAACAAAGAACACAAGAACTAGTCTCTCTCTCTCTCTCTGCAAATAATATCGATCAGTTTGATCATTGGGTGATGATGGAGAGCCAAGTGAATGGAGTTCGCATCTCGCTCCTCACACCCACGTCACAGCATGTTCCAATCACATATCGGGAAATCTTCATTTATTTACGCCATGAAAATAACTAGGAACAAAATGACTTAAGTAATTGATTCTTTCAGATTCTTTAGAATATCAACCAAATCTTCATTGACAAAGCGAAAAATACAAGTGAAAACAAACGGAAGCCAACTATGAGGCAACCAACTTCAAATCAAAGCGAGAGCCAGAGAATGAGAGAAGATCTTGGATCCCATCAACCTGAATACGTGTCATCTGTTCTCTTTAGTATTGCTCATCTTCTTATCCACTTTCGGTGTGAATAGCCCCCGCTACACAGGCTATGGTTGAATTGAAGCTAAAGCAGCCACTGTTCATCAATATTTGCCGAGAAATCGAAGAAACGTGTAGAAAGCCAATGGTGAAAACTACTTCAAAGAATTTGATGGAATCCAGAATAAATACAAAGATGATCATTTAAAATCCGCAGGATATCTGGCAGAATGGAATGTGATCCTAACTTCCTAAGGTGCCGTGCAAACAAAACATAAAGACAGAATTAACTGAGCCTTGAGAGGCGCTAACTTCAGTGTTAGAACTTAGGAGCATGTAATGCTCAATTACTAGCACGACTTGCACTTTGTTTTCTGTTATTCCCTTAGCTTTTCCAATTCAAAAAATACAGTGAAGATGAATAGAGAAATGAAACACTAGCAAGTAGCAATGTGACATGGAGAGAATACACAAGTTGAATAAATAGAACTTCATTTAAACTGTTGCAAGAAAAATCAAACGATTCAACAAAATAGAAAAAAAAACTGAAATTTGGTACACAATTAGATGGCCAAGTACTTGAGCTTTATAGTGTTAAAAAATAAACAATCAAAATTAAAATGAAGCCAAAATCTCATTGATGTCATCGGTGCTTGTTAGTTTTAGGCCTGTGGGTTGAAGCTGAAGCACCAAGTGGAGGGAAATCATCTTGCCCAAAGTGAAAACTATTTTTGCTCGTCCCTTTTACAGTGTCAACTTCATCATTGGAGGGTTGCTTGGTTTGCTGCAATGGTGGTGCTTGCTTAACTTGCTGCTTTGGTAGCTTTGTCAAGGAGTATGGCTGAATGCCCTGCAGCTCAGGGTCTGGTTTGAATTTGTATGGCAGCTTACTGTCATCCATCTTCCTGAAAGTTATGGAGATCCTGCAAAGAACAAGTAGGTACTAATAAGATGCTTTTGTCAAATATAAACATAACAAAGTTGAGTTATAAATCTTTTTGATTTCTAGTATAAAATGAGCAGATGACTGCACCTTTTCGCTGGGACACCAGGAACACAATGCTTTGCAATGTCAGCGCCATTTCCATTTAAGATGAGCACCGAACTGCAGGGAAGTATGACGCATTATGAGCAAAAGAAGAGGGAGCAAATGCTAGTTGAAGCATCTCATATGATATAGTGACAACAGATAACTTTCCTCATTGAAGGAAAACCCAACAAAAAGATATAGTGACAACAGATAACTTTCCTCATTGAAGGAAAACCCAACAAAAAGATGATAACAATAACAGGTTAACAATAAAGATAACTACTACATCAGAATGAGCATCTTTTCCAATTTGTATTTGGAGCATTGTCATGCAGTTTCTCAACATGACAAATTGTGAATTCAGAGAATAGGAGCTAGACATACCCAACAGGCAATGGAATTGCTACTGGTCCAGAGAATTCTCCTGCACCCTCAATCTTCAAATTTGATCCAAAGAGTATGTTGCATTCAGTCAAGAATGACACCGTGCAGAAAGGCCGAAGGAAATCATGATGATCAATGTGAGGTGGGATGCAGTCCCCCTCATCATAGATGTTCACAATGCAGCTATTGGGAACACAAGTTACAGGCAAGACATTCCATCTAACCAGCCTCTTGATGATTGCCTTGAACAATGGAGGAATGGGGTCAACTTCTTCATCTCGGACTATACCCGGGGGGTTTCCATTTTTGTCCTGCCAGAGATTTCTCAGTTTCAGTACACAGATAAGCAAACAAATAGAATATAGAGAGCACCCGAGCTAGCAACTGCTGAACCCAAATATCTTACCACTGCATAATTGTAGCAACAGCCAAACTGAATTGTAACACGCCCTTTACCGCGCATCCACTTCTTTGGTTCTGTATATGTACGTTCTGTAAACCATTCAAACAAAACTAAGTTTAAGATAAAGCTGCATATATGATTAAGAAACGTATTCTCTAATTCTCCCATGACCAACTTCAATGAAAAATAACAAAAAAGAATTGGTTAAACCTGCATCAAGGGAAAACTTGGTTATACCAAAATAGATCAATTTTAACAACTAATTCCAATATTTCTGAGCAGTCTGTCAGAAATTTTATACCATAACTGTGTTTTGTTGTAGATTGAATCAATATCCTAACTAGTCTAGATAATAGTATCAATTAAACAAGCCATAACTAGTCCTAGCAAATGCCTGGCTGTAAAGCTGAACAAAAGCAAAAGGGTGAGAAGAATGTACATAGGATTTTACTGTATCTACCTTTAAGCTGCCCATTCTGCCCCGTTCGCTGTAGCTTGTAGACATAATCCACAATCTTCTCCTGTTCCATAGTGTTGAAAACTCGAGTGTGAAGCTCAAGCCCTTGAAGCACATTTGTTTTCTTTCCATTGACCCTCTCGAAATACACAAAATCCTTCTTTCTGCCTACTTGTGAGAATCTTATTTGTTCTTGCTCAGGCGATAGACTTAGACCCTTCTGGACTACCTGTTCATTTGATACCCCGTTACTGGATTTAGCAAATGTATCATTTTGTGCTACTTTAGAGTCTAGTCGATCAAGTGACTGTTGTCGACTGCTCACTGATGCAGGTGAGGAACTTGTCACATGCCCCTGACGCTTAGAAGAATGGACAGATCCTGGAGTTCGGGTTGAACTCCAAGATGAGCTCTCTTGCTGATGAGGCCCATTAGTTGAAGATGCAAAGCTCTTCTCTGGTGAGCACAAGCTGGACGTATTGGCAGAACAGAAATCGGACGAATTCTCAGAGTGATTACCGCTAGACAAAGATTTCCCATTGAATTTTCCTGCAACCAACCAACTTTTAATCAAGACTGATTACATATAGTCCCACACCCCATTAAAAGTAAGGCAATTGCAGACACAAAGCTAGGAATAAATCAAGATTACTTCAACCAAGTCAGGACTTGGAACAATAATACAAAGTGAGAATTTATATACTTAAGTTTCATTCAATAAGAACTAAGAAAATCAAACCCTAAACAAAAAAAAAAAATCATATACTCTGAAACAATCAAAACACGTACAACCTCTCAATCTTTCATCACAAAGGGAGGAAAGTGAAAAGAAAAAGAGACCCACCCACAAAAGAAGAAAAGAAGGAAAAGAAGAGCTTACCATTAGTGTTATCAGAGAAGAGATTCTGAAGACGAGTCTGCAACAAGTCTTTGCATGAACTGCAGAGCCCTTCTGATAACATATCCACAATCTCAGGCATCTCGAGTTTCTTAAGAAAATTTTCCATTATCAGGAATCTCAGCACCTTTCAAATTTCGATCTCTCCACCGCCAACGCTGGAACCAGTATTTAACTCTGTTCTGCTCCTAATTTCAGACTCCGAGTTGGAGTTCTCTTCGTTAGATTTTAGAAAGAATTCGCACGCGTTCCTGCTCTTTCCTATCTATTTGATTCACCAATCACCATCTATCTAGGAGACTAGGATTTGGACAATTTCTGTATTGACGAAAATACCCTTACATGGACACGTTTAGGTTTAGTGTCATCCCAACTGCCATCGGCACGTGTAGAAGTGTAGAACTACAAACCCTAGTCAACGTCTGGTTAACTTTATAGTTTGTTTATAGTGGGCCCCACTTTCGCAGCCTGATGAGTTTATGAGCCTACGGTGCCGTTTGGGTTGGGTTAGGATTTTTAGCCCTCGTCAGGGTTCGGGGCGAATACGGTATAGGGAATTTGAATTCGGGATCAGATACAGGACAGACAAAATCCGGCCCCATCGTCATTCTTACCGGAAATGATGCTCTTGGAGCTGTGGTTACAATTGGATCTAACCCGATGGATTTCGAAAAATGTCTCAAACACAACTCGACATAAGATCGGGTTATCTCGTATTTGGATGTTTTAACCTGATTCGGTTAATAAATCGAATTAAATGCGGATTTAAGCCATTTGATTAAAAGCTCAATCTGATTAAAAATTATTATTTTATATATTATATATACAGGTTTATATACTATCAACAGGTCCGGGCTGCAATTGAAGCCCAGTGGGATGGGCCCATTGCTCTGCAGTAATGAGATATTCCTCCGGCCTTGCCCATTCAATAATCAGACTTAAGGGCCGTTTGATGACAGATGAAGTAGCTTAGCTGAATGACTTATTGCTTGGTTCTTCAGAGGTTACATTGCCTTGTTGCATGTTTCTGAGAGGACGATTATCATCGGACCAATTGAGTGCAAGTTGCCTTGTTAATACAGAATTAGAGTGCATCTCCTCTAGAACAGGTAGCCCATCTCTGTTCTTCCACATATTTGAACAATAAAAGTGGTCCAAATGCAGAAGTCTAAATGGGTTTCGGGTCAGGGTTTACCTTTTTCATTGGGCCCTTTTAGGCTTGGTTGTCTTAAAAATCTCCTAGAGTCTAGCAGAGGTCTGAACTCCTGGTCCTGGCTCAGGTAAGTGCCCTGTTTGGGCTTTCACGTTTGTGCTTTCAGCCACTTACATGGATCTCCTATAAGCTTCTTTTTGTGGCTTCTGCAAAGAAGCTTAGTGAAAGCAACTCTATAAAGTTTAACCCTTCCAAATAGCCCCTAAATATGGCGTTAGTAAAGTGGGCCTTAATCCTCTATTTCATACAATACCACATCTAGCCAGTTAGCTAATAGTACGAGCTGGATATTATCCAAAGAGAACCCTCTCAATCACAATCACAATCATAAAGTAGGAAAAATCTCAAAAAGGGCTAAACTTTGTTGCGGTATGATGTCGTACACATTACAGAGGACTCACCCGTAAGTAAGGCTGTAATTCAATCGAGCTCTAATCGAATAATTCGGGCTCAAATTCGATTAAGCTTGATTCAAGTTAGATTCTAATTGAGTTCGAACCCTACGGTAAGCTCAATTAGTTATTTGAGCTTGAGCTCAATCAATAAAAAGTTTGGCTCGAAAGTTCATACATATGTATAATAGAGTACAAAAATATATTTTATTATATACTATAAAAATATCATATAATATACAAATATATTTATTTTCGAACTTTCAAGTCGAACTCGAACTCATTGAATATTTAATTAAATCGAGCTCGAGCTAGAAAATATAGTTCGAGTCAAACTCAAACCTAATGGTATTTTAGTCAAGCCGAGTCAAGACATGCCAAAGTTCGGCTTGGTTCGGGTCGGCTCGGCTTGATTGCACCCCTACCCCTAGGACAAAATAGGGTGCACATGAGGCCCATTGACTTAACCACAAAGAGCCTATAGTTTTACAAGTTTGATCATGCACCTCCTGTTTTGGAGGGATGGCAAGTTGTCATGGGGCTAGTCAATGAAACCCATACGACACTCGATTGTGTTGAAAAAACCTATGAAACAAAGCAACACAAAAGAAAAGGCAACAATAATAGCACACAAATTAGTAAAAGGCATGTTGTATTGCATTTATATGTTAGGTATAGACAATCAGTTCATGTGTTAAGGGGCCCCATACTTAACCTTTATACTTTAGTTCCCTTTTGACTACCTAACTACCTATCTTATCTTAAAGAGGATGTTAAATTTTTGAGGATCCAACAGAAGGATATATCAAAGTGTTGAATAATCATACTTGATAATTACAATAATGCCATTAACATTCCCCAAGTATAAAAAATAGACAATGCCCCACCCATGACATACATAAGGACACTCGCATAATTGGCATGTTGCAGGTAGTGCGATCAATTGATTTTATTGTGAAGGGGTGGTAGAAGCTGATTAATTTGCTGCTTATTCCCTTCATGGCTTGTGGGGGTGGCAGAAGCTAATTACTTTGCTTCTTATCCTCCTTGATGTTTTTTGCTGCTAATTCTTTCGAAGAAAGTTTATTCCTTATTAGTTATTACTAAAACCCCCCAAAACCATTTCCCTCCATAACTGAAAACCAAAAACTTCACGATAGGCTTTAGCAGCAATAGAGTGAACAATCTGAATTTGTCCATGAGCCCATGATGAACATTAAGACACCTGGGCCTCAGGCCAATGAAAGAGCCCCCTTTTATACTCATCAAAAACTAAAGCTATGGGTGATCTTCAGGGGTCAGGTGTTGGGTTTCCCTCCTCATGTGGAAGTGGAGTCCACTCATGTATTGGGGTCTCTTGTTCAACACATAATTTGAGAAAGTTGGTAAAAAAGACAAATAATGTTGAGATTCTTGATGTTCTCTCATTAGTAGGGGTGACAATTTTCCCCGTCCCTAACGGGTACTCGGGCTCCTTGACCCGATAGAGTCGGGGATGGGGGTACTTTGGCGGGATCGGGGTCGGGGGTGGGGCTACCCCTGAATCCCCAATCGGGGACAGGGAATGCAATCCCTGCCCCGACCCATCCCCGATTATATATATAATATATTATATTATATTATATTATATATAAGTATAATAATTATTATTCATTTTTTTTTAAAGATTAAAACTTAAAAAATAGTAAAATACTAAAACCCTCGATAGTAAAACACAAAACACTTCGACAGAGAGAAGAGAGAACTCTGTCTCTGAACCTTCGTTAGCGACTCTATCTCTAAACCTTCGTCTTCGTTGCTAGTCGCCGATTTGCCGACCGTCGTCTCAGCATTGTCGCCACTCGCCCATCGGACATCGAACAAAGGACACATATACTCGAGTGACAGAGAAGAGCTACTCAAAGAAGAGTCGTTGTTGCCACTCGCCGACCATCGTTACTTCAACCTTCGGCTATCGTCGCCGAGTCGCCGACCGCCGATGGCCGATGGCCGTCTTCCATCGGACTCTCTCTTGCCGCCGACCTCAACTCTCGCAATGGTCCTTCCTCTCTCTCTCTCTCTCTCTCTCTCTCTCTCAGACTCTCAGTGTGCATACATATCTCACCAGGCATTCGGGTTTCCGACGGGGATGAATTCCCCGTCGGGGTCGGGGATGGAGGGGGGACTCCTTTCCCCGCCGGGGATCGGAGACAAGGATGGGGGGTGATTTGGGGGTTGGGGTCGGGGATGGGGAATGTAATGCCTGCCCCGAACCCACCCCATTGCTATTCCTACTCATTAGTGAGTATGAGACAAATTGTCTTGTCATGTTTCATAATTAGTGGATGGTGAGATCCACTCTCTATTATCCTTTGGCTTTCTCAATAAGCCTCATTTTGTCTTGGTGAGAAGAGTTTCTTGGCATTCTTGACTCTCAAGTCGGTATCCTCTTTGAGAAGAAAAGAGAAGAAGAGAGTGAGAAGGGAAATTTCCTCTTTTACAAGAGAAGAAGAAGAGATCCAAGCTTCTTACTATGTGAACAAGAGCACATTCAATCAACCATTGTGACTACTATTTTACACTTATTCCATCAAACCTTTGGTAGGTTTCTTGGCTCTTCAACAGTGCTTTTGGAGAGGGTGTGGGCAACTTGTTTGTGAAATCTTTTTCATGTTTTGTTAATTGAAACACTTCTTGTTTGATGACTATTCTTCTTGTAGTATTTGATTATTTTTCTCATTGGCTATTAATTATTGTTTCTCCTTTATTAATTACATTGCTGATTTGCACACTGTGAACAAGGGATTTTATTCCCAACATTAGGATCATTGATAAACCTAACCACTTCATGAGCATCCAACTCAAAGCACACTGATAGGATCCCCATACACAAGGTTCACTTGACTACGCTATGGATAACGCTCACACCTCAGCATCCAATGAGCTCAAGCACAGAGATCGTTGGCCCTCAACAACAATCAAAACACCTCAATGGTCTCAAAGACAAATAAGACCAGCACAGAGAGAAGCCAGGTGGAAGCTGGCATCAAAATTCACTTTAACTATCCCCTCCAAGTGGAAGCCAGGTGCAATTGAGCCTGCATATTGACATTAACCCATTCCTTTAACATGTATTTGGTTTAAAAGAAAAGGTAGAGAAAGGAAGGGAAAATTAGTGAAGGAAATATTTGGACATTGAAGCAGTTTAAATACGATGGATATACCCAGTGGTAAGCTTAATTAAAGTGTTTTGTTGAAATGATTAGGTTGGCTTTCTTTATTTGATTTAGGTTTGATCTGTAATTAAAGATGCACTTTATGTAGAAGAATGAGACTTGCACCAATGTAACATCTTGAAAGCCTTTGCGCTAGATTTCTTATTAGGGTTAGAAACTCAGGGTCCGTTTGGTTCATAGGAATAGAGGTCATTTGGCATTAGAATCGGAATGGGTTATATCGATTCCAATTATTTAGTTGGGCAGAATCAGAATCCCATTTCCATTTTTGGTGGAATGACATTTCTCCATTTGAGGGAATGGCCATTCCCTCCCCTCCCTTTGGAATGAAATCCCATTGTATTCTGTTTTTAATTTCTTTTCTTATTACTCCTATTTGAACCAAACAGACTATGGGAATAGACCATTCCATTTCCAATTCCAAAGAATTTCGATTTCAATTC